GTCTTCACAATGGACTTTTGTATCCCTGACCATATATCAAAGCAGTTGAATTATTTAATGAAGATACACCTAACTCATGTGCACTTGGGTTAACAGTTTAAAATTGTTACAATAGACCGAGAACAAACCTCTGAAAACCAGAATAATGTCTGTGTGTCAACTGTCGGGTCATGATAGTTAGATGGAGTGTTAGCGATTTACTGGACACAGCTTGTCTTTTCCGAAAAAATAGCTTGGCTCAGACTACAATTGGTGTACTTCAAAATGCCAGAAAACTGGAGAGGGTACCTTCAAATTTGTCAACCTTTTAATCCGGTAAGTTGTCAGAGGGTACTTCCACCAGAAATCTCCCGCATATGTAAAATGTTCTTCAGACGCTGTGTTCCATTTATATAACAGTAAATCGCTAACACTCCATCTAAGTATCACGACCCGAAGAGAAAGCCGGAAAGTCACGGTGGTCAAAAGCAGTGCATCGCTAAATGAAAGAAGAAGGTATGATTTGTTAAACGTTAATCATGAATATTAAGAGCTACGTATCTCAGAAACTAATGTTCTCTATCCAACGGTGAAAACCGCATGTCTCTATCACTCTTCGTTCAAATGTGATAAGCATTGTGCCGAGCAGCCTCGTTTTCAGAAAAGGATAATATATCAAACATAAATATATCAGCCTAAAGAGTGGAATAGAGGAATGATCAGAATATATTTTGAAACGCTTCCTTAGTCTTCAATCCAGCTGATACATTTTGCAAACTTATATGAAACTGATTAAGAGCTTATCAATAATCTTGCATACTTGTATTCTACCGGAATGAAATGCTTTCACTTTATCTCTCTAATTATTTTGCTTTTAAATTCCTCATATGAAATTTACTTGATACTTACTGGTTAGTGTTATACACAGAGAACAAGACAAACTATAGCTAGTAAATCGCTAACACTCTATCTAACTATCACGACCCGAAGAGAAAACCGGAAAGTCATGGTGGTCAAAAGGAGTGTATCTAACTCCCGAATATAAAAGAAGAAAGTATTATTTTTTAAACGTTAATTATGAATATTGAGAGCTACCTGTCTCAGAAAAAAAAAAAAGATCAATATATAGTACAACTCATGCACTTTAAATTAGTATAGAAAATGGAAAGGATCCTTTCTAGTTAACTTAATTTTAATTCGAGAAGTTGGCAGCATATAGGACAAATTCACAGTAAGCCCTGCTTCTTTCGAACATAGAATAGAGATGTTACAAATAAGATGAGTGAATAAAATGATCACTTATTCACATAGTCACTTTTGCGTTCTGTCACCTTTTCAGACGACGTTATAGCCGAATGTTCTTTTTTTCGTATATATAGTAGATACGTTCGGCACTAACGTCGTCTGAAAAGGTGGCAGATAGCCGAATGTTCTTTTTTTCGTATATATATAAACGAACACTTCGACAAAAGTATGCGACTCTTTCCTTTCTTATTTTGTTCTTTAAGAAAAATAACATAAAACACACATATCCAAGTTATAGTCTCTACAAAGTCGTTTTTTCTTCTTCGTTTTGAACGTTTTACACCTCGTCTTGCGAAGCCTGTATCTTTGGCTAGGAGTAATATTTTTAAAATCGGAAAGCGCCATTTGAAAGAGCCTAGATTTTACTACAAAATAAACTATAAAAGTCAAAAATCTGGGATTGGGTCAGAGCAAGGTTTGGCGTGGTTTATGTGCAATGGCTCGTACATGAAACATATCGCATATATGCGACGTTACACGTCGGATCAGCTCATTTCTAGCACGTGGGAGTAAATGCGAGGGACAGTCGTCAGGAGCGCTTTATTCGCCTTAAGTCTTTTTTTGACAGTTAAAATCTTTTCATCTGCGTAGATCATCTGTTAAAGACCTTTTTCGAGAGCGGCTTCTCATGTCGCCGAAACCAAATACTTTTTTGCACTAATACGTAGGATAGTATAAGAGGCTACTCTTACTATGGTCCCTAAAAAGATGTGTACACGGCTCATCCGATGGTGTTGCATTGACCCAAGAAAATCACTGTTGTGTCAGGATTGTAAATCCTTTCAAAAATATAATCGTGAACTGGAACTTGAAAGTTTATTTGATACCCAAGAAAATATCTCATACCCAAAGAAAGCGCAAAAAACCCAAAGAAAGCACAAAAAACTCAAAGGTTTGTAAATACACTGCTACCACGCGGAAAAGTGAATAACCGCGGGAAGAGAATATAGAAGAAAGAAGACAAAAAGCAACAGAGTTATATGATAGGCGAGCGCGATTAATTGAATTGAAAAATTTAAATCGCTGCTAAAGACCTTTTTCAAGAGCAGCTTCCCATGTCCCCAAAACCAAAGATCTTTTTTACATTAACCAAGTGCATAACGCAAAAAAATGCAAAAGCATAAGTAGCCTAATGCAGAAAATGGTTAAAAAAGCGAAATTCTGCAAAATTTTGTATATTATTCTAGAACAAAATGTTTACCAGATTCTGTAGTTTGTCACAAATTTTTGCGTTAGACCAGTTATATTTTTGCACTTTTTTTTTCCGTGATCACGCAAAAGAACTTTTGCAGTTTCTACATGGGTTATGGATACATAGTTCCACTGAAGAGCTTGCTACTCTTGACAATAAGACCAACTGCTCATTTCTTTGTTGACAACTGAGTGTCTAAGTCCTGGCTTTTGTGAAACATATCGCGTGTATGCCGCTTTACACGTTCGATCAACTCACTTCCAGCACGTGGGAGTAAATCAGAGAGACAATCGTTATGAAGCGCTTCATTCGCCGTATGTCTTTTTTTGACAGTTAAAATCTTTTCAAGACATCTGCGTATATCCCATACTTTGTGTTTTACTTCATTATCGTCCTAATAAATTACGAGCGCTTTTATGTACCACTCAACGTTTGAATGAACATCACCTAAATATTCGTATGATCGTGCAACACACCACTGACAACAAGTGACGTTTGGAAAGCTTGTTTGTTGGTCATAGTAAAATAAGTTTGTGTCAACACTAAACTCTCGTGCTTTGTCCTGACAATAACAAATAATTCTGTGTAGAAAAACATCATGCGGTGTAAATTTCTGACAAAGATAAATGGCCTCCTTGTACCGAGAAATGGCTAGTTGAATGTCATTCTGACTTAGCCAAAAATCAGCTATCCGGACATATCCCTTGAGAATAATTTCGTCGCTGTAGCTGGGAAAATCTTTGGTTGCGGCCTGGATAAACTTAAATTAGTTTTCCATTGTTTCACCAGCCGTACCAATTTTGGTAAAATAATCTTTGGCATGGTACTCAATGTTGAGAAGATCCTTGCATATTGTCCACGCCAGTGCATAACAAGATTTTCTGACACAAGTACGTGCAATGTACAAATACCGATTCACTAGCTTTGTCAATGGCACAATAGAAAGTGAGCGACGTAGTCCAATTTCCATAATTTTTGCGTGGTATATGTTTGCACAATTCCAGTTGTCGAGTTTTTCATAAGCGAGCGCCAGACAATCGTAGATAATAAACAAAAGTTCTTTTTCATCAGATGGACAAAGTACTTCTGCAACACGTTGGTGTTCAATTGCCGAGAAATACGGACCAGTTTCACTTGCGATGTATCCCAGACCGACATGATAGACTAACGGTGTCACATCAGCTAACAACTGATAGTATCGATCTGCTTCTATTTGTTTACCTCGGACACTGTCAATATTATGGAATATATATCCCACTTTAAATAATTTAGCATTAGCCGATAGATCTGGCGCGAACAAATATCGACCGTTCGTGGGATTAAATTTAATCCAACGATCGTGGAATCTATCAGTAATATCCCCGATTAGGAACAGTTTAACGTACCATACTTGCGTCTCTTCATCATATTCAATATTGTTCACTTGAAAAACAGAGCCAACATTAAACAGCACTTCGCCTTCATCAGCAATTGCGCTCATATGACTAATGTCGGCAAATGGCTTTTTAACCGGCTGTTTATGAATTAATATTTCGAATAAAACTGATTTTTGATCCTCATTTAAGGAATGAGCAAGTTCACCGGCGAACATCAGTGCGACCTTTCGATGAACAGCTGTTAAAAAATACGTATTAGTCGAAAAGCAATTGAAATAATATTTCCCTGCATATTCACGAATAGCTTTAATTTCGACTTTGGACAAGATCTGTCCACGATAGACCCAAATCGATGTCGATTTATATTTATTAAATAATTCGTCCTGTTCAGTTTTTAGTTGATTATGCAAGTCAAACAAGAAAAAATGAAACAACAATATTCTTTCTACATTTTGTTGCCGAAGTGCTTTGTTGAATAAACGATAGAGAAATCCTGCTCTTGTATACCAGAAGACAGCCATACTCGAATTATATGTTAACTGGAATTCATCAAGATCTTTTTGTATCGACAAATTGCCCTTGTAATAACTTCGGCACCAATCAATCAATATTTGTTTACCATTCCCGACTGGGTCTGTTTCAAATAAACTATCAAGAAATGTTAAAAACCAATCACGTTTCTTAGACGAATAACTTATATACCGCGTAGTTGTTTCCCGATTGTCACGTGAGTCACGAGATATAGCTTGGGTCTATACATGGTCGTACTTCTGTATAGTATTTTAATTTCATGAGATAAGGCATTCAACATGTCCGCTGTTGTGGAAAAATAGCCTTTAATCTAAGAAAATAATACATGTAAAAAGCCAATTGCTTTTTATTAAAGCTTTCTCAGAGTTCTGTGAACTTTCTCAAAACGATACATAGTTGGAACCGGACTGGCAGAAGTTCACAACCGAACGGCTTTTCACCAGTTATTTAGAAGAATAAATGGGTAAGTTACTTCAAAGTTATATTTCGAATAAGACGTTTTTCGTCTCCTACACATTGTTTTAATTGAACTTGTAGATATGATATAAGAGCATATTTAATGTTTGTCTTTCGTCCTCTTGTATGGATATTTCACATGTGTAGACCTTCAATATCTTCTTCTAACTGTTATACCTTTGAGTTTTATCAGAGGTGGGCAGCTCGACTCCTGGGAGCCGTCTCCGTTTACAAACGAAGCCGGAGTTGGACGGGAAGCGTTGAGTTCAGAGCCGGAGCAGGTGTGCGGATGATGATGTGCGCGTTCGATCAAGGTAAAAATGACACTCTTACGAGAGATAGTTATATGAATAAAGGGTGTATACTAAGTTCTGACCCGCTTTGTAAATTGACGTTATTTATATGAAATACATGTGATACATTTCAGCTGTTTTTTGCAGAAGATTCATCATTTAATTCTCTACAAAATGGTATATA